TAAAAATGGACTCAATTTGCACTATTTCTGGCAGTCTGCAAACCCCCTTCATGGCGACCCTACTTACCAGAAATAGTGCAAATTGAGTCCACTTTTAGGGTTAGGCTTAGGCTTAGGGAATCATGGGAACTGTATTTTATTGTGGCACCAGAGCTCTCTGACAGAGAAGGCTCAATGCCTCAGAAAACAACAACAACAACAATTCCCATGATTCCCTAGCACTAACCCTAACCCTAAAAGTGGACTCAATTTGCACTATTTCTGGCAATCTGCAACCCCCCTAAGAAGAGGACCTCTTGTAGCACCACCTTTGAGACGAGTAACCGAAAGGAAGAAACTGGCAGCATGAGCTTTCCTAGACTAATAGGTCCAAAACACACTGCAGAAATAAACCAGTTTGGGACCGCTTTAACTGTCCTGGCTCAGTGCTAGGGGATTCTGGTTATTGTAGTTTTGTGAGGCATTTAGCCTCCTCTAGCAGAGAGCTCTGGCGCTAAAATAAACCACAGTTCCCAGGATTTCCTAGCTAGGGCAATTAAAGCGGTCTCAAACGGGATTATTTCTGCAGGGTGTTTTGAACCTAAAGTCTATTTCCTCAGATGCAACAACTGTTGTTGTGTGCTTTCAAGTCCTTTCCGACTTAGGGCGACTCTATCATGGGGTTTTCCTGCCAAGAGGGGGTGGGCCGTGGCCGTCCTCTGAGGCTGAGAGAGTGTGACTTGCTCACAGTCACCCAGTAAGGGTTACATGGCCGAGCTGGGATTCGAACCCTGAATCCATAACACACTGCAGAAACCATCCAGTTTGAGACCGCTTTCACTGCCCTGTCTCAGTGCGAGGGAATTCTAGTGTAGAAGCGTAGTTTAGTGATCCATTTCGCCTTCTCTCTCAGGAAGAGAGCTCTGGTGCCACAGTAAACTACAATTCCCAGGATTATCTACCGCTGATACCGGTAGTTGTAGTTGTAATTTATTGTGGCACCAGAGATCGCTTTCTGACAGAGAAGGCTAAATGGCTCATGAAACTACGCTTCTACACTAGAATTCCCTCGCATTGAGCCAGGGCAGTGAAAGCGGTCTCAAACTGGATGGTTTCTGCAGTGTGTTTTGGACTCTGGTCTCCAGAGTCCCAGCGCACAAACCACTACACCACACTGGCTCTCAAGATGACCTTAAGGGAACCCTATCAAGGGGTTTTCTTGTCAAGTTTCTTCAGAGTTAGAGTTTTGGGAGGTTTTTTTTTTTACCTTGCCACCCTTTGAGGCTGAGAGAGTGTGACTTGGCCAAAGTCACCCAGTGGGGTTCCAGTATGGGCCGAGAGAGGATTCGACCCCTGTGAGTCTCTGAGGCAGCCTCTATCTACCTTGCGGAGTTAATGCCATTTCGCACTGCTTTCACTGCCCTGGCTCAATGCTATGCAATGTTGGGATTTGTAGTTTTGTGAAATATTTAGTCTTCTGTGTCAGAGAGCTCTGGTGCCACCACAAACGACAAATGCCAGGATTCCATAGGATGGAGCCATGCCTGTTGAAACTGCATTAATTCGACAGTGTAGCAGCAGCCCTAGAGTCCTAGTCTGATGCTCAAACCACTACACACACACACACACCTTTTTTGTCTCAAGATGCTAGTCCTCCTTGAGGCCCTTGGGAGGCCCCAACCAATACCATAATATTGATTTTCCTCAGCAATGGCTGGTTGACTGCTAGGGTGAGAGGGTCCTCTCATGAAGAAGAAGCATGTTTCCATCACCAAATTCATCTAAGGAAGTAGAATTAAGCCTACGAAAGCTCACGCTGCCAGCTTCTTTGCAGACTGCCAGAAATAGTGCAAATTGAGTCCACTTTTAGGGTTAGGGTTAATGCTAGGGAATCATGGGTATTGTTTTTTTTTCCTGAGACATTGAGCCTTCTCTGTCAGAGAGCTCTGGTACCACAATAAAATACAGTGCCCATGATTTCCTAGCACTAACCCTAACCCTAAAAGTGGACTCAATTTGCACTATTTCTGGCAGTCTGCAACCCCCCTTAGTCTCAAAGGTGCTACAAGAGATCGCTCTCCATGTTTCCATAAGCGAAGCTCATACAAGCTCCATGAAGCACACAATTGATAAGATTGCCTCCGATCACTAATTCGGATTAGTTTCCCCTATCATCCGAATGAGAGCCAGCGTGGCATAGTGCTTTGTGCGCTGGACTATGACTCTGGAGACCTGGGTTCAAATCCCCGCTTGGCCAGAGACACCCACTGGGTGAGCATGGGCAAGTCACACTCTCTATGCCTCAGAGGAGGGCAATAGCCAATCCCCTGTGAACCAAGCTTGCCAAGAAACCCCCATGATAGGATTTGCCATAAGTCGGAGACGACTTGAAGGCACAGAACAACAACAAACAACCACCATCTGAACACTTGTGCCGGGTCAATATCGCATTTGGCTGGGTTTTTTGGACAGAAAAGAGGGGCCAGGTCTTTGTGGGGAGTGGGGGTATAAAAAAAGTGACTTGAAATCTTTCTGAGGCTGTGCAGAAGTTGTGGAAGAGAGATCCAGGGCGGGCAGGCGTATGTGTGTTGTGTGTTTGTGTTGTTGTGGTTCGAAAGTGAAGAGGAAGCGTTTTGCAGGGAAGTTGCCATATATTGGTTGGGTATACACCATGGCAAACACACACACACACCAAGGATAAAATGGAAACCTTGCCCTAGTGTCATGAAAGAAGGGGGAAAATTGGGCGGGCCTATGGTGGAGTTGAGGCCACATCAACAAATGTCAAGATGATGATGATGATGATGATGATGATGATGATGATGATGATAGAGTTTATGTCTAATGATTATCAATTGAACTCAATCGGGTTTACGTTTGAGTAGAGTTGGTAACACAAATCAGAGTGGTGTACTGGTTTGAGCATTGGACTGTGACACTGGAGCTCTGGGTTCGAATCCCGCTCGGCCATGGCAACCCACAGGGTGACCTTGGGCGAGTCACACACTCTCAGCCCTAGAAAACCCCTGGATAGGTATCCCTAAAGGTCGCCATAAGTCGAAACGACTTGAAGGCACACAACAACGGAGGTGACAGCATGCCTACATTTGTTAAATTTCTTGGTGCAAACACAGGTTTGGCAGCTCCTCATTCCATGTTGTTGTTGTTGTTGTTGTTTACCTGAATATATTAATTGTATTAACGCAAAGGGAGGTTTGACACCACCTTATTGCAAAATCCCTTCTCAACCATGTAAATCCACTGGGTGACTTTAGGCAAGTCACACTCTCTCAGCCTCAGAGGATGGCAAGGGCAAACCCCCTCTGAAGAAACTTGCCAAGAAAATCCCATGATAGGTTAGCCTTCGGGTCGCCATAAGTCGAAAACTACTTGAAGGCACATACAACAACAGCAACAGTTGCAAAATAAGAATAAGAATAAGTGTAGTTATGGCCTGTCAAGCCTGAGTTCAAGCCAGTAAATTTAGCAAATTCAGATATGTTATCAGATATGCTTGTTTACTATTGATGTAAAACATCACTGGGTTTAGTGGCAGTTGCTTTCACATTTGCAAAGGATTATAATTTTGCTTTATATCTGCCCTCCTTATTGCATCAGTCAACACTTTCACAAGTGCTTTGCCTCAATTGTTGATCATGGGCTTTTTAAAAAGGAAGAAAAATATATTACTTTTTAGGGGCTCTAGAAATCTGCACAAATGAGAGTTAGAACTTTAATAAATTCAGGTGTGTTTCTAGGTATGTTGCAGGTTGAGTCTCCCTTATTTGGAATTCTGAAATCCAAAATACTCCAGAATTGTCCATATGTGTGGCTGAGATAGTGACACCCTTGCTTTCTGATGGTTGAGTGTACACAAACTTTGATTCATACACAAAATTATTAAAAATATTGTGCATCAAAGGCTATGTGTATAAGGTTTATATGAAATTTTATGTTTAGACTTGGGTCCCATCTCCAAGATCTCTCTCTCTCTCTCTCTCTCTCTCTATATATATATATATATATAAATGCAAACATTCCAAAACTGGGAAAAAATCCAAAAGACTTCTGGTCTGGAGCATTTCAGATAAGAGAGACTTGATTTGTATAAAATTTAGGCCACAAGTTCTATCAGGACAGGAGCTATGTGCTTAGCAGTGTGCAATATTTTGTACAGGATCCAATGCCTTCTTGCAATTTCTTGTTTTCTTTTCCCTCCAAGAAATAAGCCTCTGCACCCCAGTCCAACCTCCTCCTTCCTGATCACTAGCTGGAAATAGTCTCTTAGGTGTGGCTCCCAAAACTCCTACCCCTGGGGGCAGCTCACCTGACAGACACCAAAACATCATAAGTGTTCATTGGAGGATTGGGTGGGGAGAGGTTAGGTGGACATGTCTGGAAAATGGGGGTCCCATTGGAGCAGTGAAATGGATAGCTATTTGAACACAACTGGGATCATGTAACAGCAGCCAATGAGGAAAGGTTCTGTGGTCCATCTTCTGACAATCTGGAATACTTTCTCCAGCTTGGCTGGGGATGATGGGCATTGTAACCCAACACATTTAGGACCAATTTGGAGATGGTCACTAAAAAGCACTTCTTAGGTCCAAAACACACTGCAGAAATAATCCAGTTTCAGACTGCTTTAACTGTGCTGGTTCAATGTTAGAGAATTCTAGGGATTAGTTTTGTGAGACATTTAGCCTTCTCTGTCAGAGATCTCTGGTGTCACAATAAACTACAATTCCCAGGATTCCCTAGCACTGAGCCAGGGCAGTTAAAGCAGTCTCAAATGGGATTATTTCTGCAGTGTGTTTTGGACCTCCGTTATCAGGGCTCTCAACACAGTTTATGACATTTAAAAAAGTTAATTACCAAATATATTTAATTGTTTAATATGAGCATAAGTGTTCTTGTCTCAGCATGGGTTAGGGGAGAGAGATTGGATAACCTGGGCTCCTTGTATCTTCCCCTTTCAGAAATTCCAGAATGCTATTTCATTTTGAAACTTGCTCTTTTAACACTATTACAATTATAGTGCTATGATTCCACTTTAACTGCCATGGTAACAACTTATGGAACCCAGAGACTTGCAGTTTATGTTGGATATTTTATTGGAATTCTCAGCCAGAGAATTCTAGTGCCTCACCAAACTATAAATCCCAGGATTCTATGGAATACAGTCATGGCAATTAAAAGTGGAACCATAGCATTGTAGCTATGTAATATGAAAGGGATGCAAGGCCCTCCTGACTCCTGAATCAGTGAATGTCTATGAGCATATCTGCTTTTTTTAGGCCTCAGTTTCTTAGGGGGGTTGCAGACTGCCAGAAATAGTGCAAATTGAGTCCACTTTAAGGGTTACGGTTAGGGAATCATGGGAACTGTATTTTATTGTGGCACCAGAGCTCTCTGACAGAGAAGGCTCAATGTCTCAGAAAAAAACAACAATTCCCATGATTCCCTAGCACTAACCCTAACCCTAAAAGTGGACTCAATTTGCACTATTTCTGGCAGTCTGCAAAAGCCCAAGGGCTACAGAGAAAGGCTTGGGATTTGGGGTGCTTTTGGGGGTAAAAACAAGCAAGACAAGTGATTTAAAGGTGTGATATGGTCAGTGATGATAATGATGATGATTTTTATCACCTAGCCACCATGTGTTAATCTTGTGGTACCTTATATATTATTTGTTCTCACTACATCTGTTAGTCTATAATAGTGTGTCACAGGATTCTTTTGTGGTGTTCATCTCTTAGTCCTCCTCTTCCACAGAAATGAAGCTCCAGTTCTAACTTGTGTTTTCTTATAATCACCTCCCCCTCCTGGTTTTCCCCCTTGACATTTAAATTGAAAGTGCCTCCAGGTAAAACCCTGTTTTCTCTCTTGCATTGCTCTGTAAAACTATCCTGTAAGTTGCTAGTGCAATATAAATAGCTTCCCGCATGATGAAGAGGTTGGTTAAGCCACCCAACAAGTTTGATGGAAGGTCTTAGATTAATATTCTAGGACAAAGTCGTATCTGTTTCCAGTGTGGTCTGTCCTTTGCTCATGTGCAGAGTGCCTTTCTTCACCTCCAAGGCATTTCACTGTGTGAGTGAAGAGGCTTCATCCCACTTCAGTTGCCATGGAGGCATCCTATGGGGTTTATTATTTGGCGAGTGGCTTAGAATTTCTCTGCTAGGGAATGCTAGTGCATTTCTCCAAATTAAAATTCCTAAGAAGAGGGACTGAGGGTTAAATTATCATGAGAACTGTAGCTCACGGAATGACCTAAAGGTCTCTAGAAGAGATTTCTCAGTTCTCAACAAACTACAAATCCCAGGGTCCCTTATGATGGAATAAAGGCAGTTAAAAGTGATTTCACATTGCAATAATTGTATGTGCACACATATACATGTGCCGTCAAGTCACCTATTGACTTATGGCAACTCCATGAATGTCATAAGGTTTTCTTAGGCAATTAATAGTCAGAGGTGATTTAGCCAGTTGCTTCCTCTGAAATATAGCCTACATTGCTTGGTACTAACCAGAGCTGACTGTGCATAGCTTCCAAGATCAGACAGGATCTGATGCCTTTAGGGTGGTGTACAGATTGACTAGAGGGCAGTTAACAACAACAAAAAGATTTTTTAGTGACCAGTTCCAAGACTGAACTTCATCCTAGATATCATTCTAGAAATGCTTTGAATACCAGTCTTTCCCAAAGAGCTTGACTTGGCTTATTACAATGCTTTCCCTCCTCACAACAACCCTGAGAAACTGGTGAGGCTGAGAGTGAAGCAACTAGCTCAAGGTCATCCAAGGAAGAAATTGTGGTTGAACAGGGATATGATACCAGTTCAACCTAGTCCCAGTGTCCAACAATTAAAGCACTTCTTTTTCTGACTTCTTCGCAAGAGCATGGGGTGGTGATGATGCCATGCTTGTTCCCATATCTATAGCCAATTCTATGGATCCCCTTTCACCCTTGTACTTGCAAATTCTTTGCCATTGGTATCCTGGCTAGGACCTCTTCTAAAGAGAAATACTCTGTCTCCAGTATCCAGTCCTGTTAGGAACATGTCTGTAGATTAATATTTTGGTTTGAAGGAAGAACTGTTTTGGCATATACAGTATACCTAAACTCCATCTCCTTGCTAACAGATATGATGGTCAATTTTCCTTCTCATTTCTCCATCATTCTCTCCCTCCTGCCATACTATCAAGGGATATCATTGAAACAAGTTGTTTAGGAACTTACCCCAATGATTCTGGAA